CTTCGCAAATACCTTTAAAAATTCTACAATGGGCCATGTGCAGTGGCTCATGCTCATAATCCCAATACTTTGGGAGTCCGAGGCAGGAGGATTGTTTGAGCCCAGGAGTTTGAGACCAGCCTCAGCAACATAAGGAGACCCCATCTTACAAAAAAAAAAAAAAAAAAAAAAAAAAAAAAAAATTAGCCAGGCATGGTGGCCTGTGCCTGTAGTCCTAGCTACTTGGAAGACAGGTGAGAGGATCCTTTGAGCCTGCCGGCTTGAGGATGCAGTGAGCCGTGATTGTGCCACTGCACTCCAGCCTGGGCAACACAGAGAGACTCTGTCTCAAATAAAACAAAACACCAACATTGTTAAATGATTCCTCTGAAGGTAAAGAGGAATTTGATAGGCTCCTCTCCATGACTCACACACACTTCTCAAACTTTCTCTCTTGTTTTTCTCCCATGTGTGTTCACTGCCACTCTGAGTTTTTTGCACTTCTGTAAAAGCACAGCAGGCTAGGTAGATGGAGGATATATATAATTTTTTAATAAATGATTGAATGGTGAGGCCAATAATACTTACATTGAAGTGCTTTTGTAAGCATTAAACAAAAGAACATACGTGCAGCTCCTAGCATAGTTCCTGAAACATAGCCGACACTCAGCACATGTTACCTCCTTCTTCCTTTTCGCTTCCCTACAAGTGCAGGTGAATGAACTCATGACTCTGAACATTATTAGGATATTGTAGCTAAAGTCACTTTTTGGGAGTTATTCTCTGTCAATCTCACTATCTATTTGGTGTTTACTTCAAAAAGACACTCTGGCTTGTCTTCAATTCCCAAGAATGTGAATCTTGACACAAATTTAACTTTCTTGGGTAGGCTATCCTAAAAAAACTTATACTTTAATGTTTGTGTCAGATCCTTCCCAAATCTCTTGGAAATATCACCACATGCTCGTTATCTGATAAAGCAATAAAGAACAGCTGCATCTGAGGAAAGATGTTTCATGGGGTCTGGTTTTACTTTATTTGGGCACTTTAGGTAGATGGGGTCATTAGGAGGATCTGAGAGTTTTAGAATAGCTAGCTGCTGCTGCTGGTCGCTAATTCTCAAGATATTTTCTTCTTGCTATAAAATGCTTTCCTTCTCACACCAGATTTCATAAAGGCCTTCCATCTGGTCTGCACTGATAACTAGAAATCCAGAGATGTTCATTCCTCTTACAACTTGTAGTTAAAAATGATCCAGATGCAGGATTAGGTTTTACAGCCTCTTCTAAAGGATTTTGTCTTCCTAATCCTATAGCTTCATGTGGTGAGAATTGATCAACATGAGGGAGTGCTAACAATAAACCTATTAAAGTGTCCAGTTGGCTATGTGTACTTTTCATTTGACGTGTTTTAGGGCAATACAACAACGGGACAAAAACACTGACATCTATTTGGGTAAGGACTGCAGTAAACCAGATAATCCACAGTGGATAAGAGAAATAAGAGAAAATAAGAGAACTAAAAAAGAAAGACAAAATTACAGTCAATCTGTATTAGAAAGAGGGTTCTCAAGAATTTTATCAATTTGTTGTGATCCAGGAATATGACAATTGATTGAATGATCTCTATAAATTCTGGTTCTCAGTTTCTTAATCCACAAAATGTGAGAATGAATAAAAAGTAGCTGGGATTTTGATGAAAGTCCTTTCCTCGCCAGGAAGATGAACTTTGATAAGTTGACTGACCTAAGCCCCAAATTTAGGGGCCACAATACCGGTTTTAGAAAATGATTCGCGGAGGAAAAAACAAGAGAGAAATAAGTCATTCTAAATTGCTGCTGCCCCATTTCTCTTCCCTGTTCATCTATCTCCTCGTCACTTATGATGGCACACTCATCTTCAATGTTTTCCTGGGGTTTATGTTCATATAATTTCACACATAATAAAAATCTGGTAGGTGGAGAAGAAAGGAGCATAAAGCATGAGATGCTAAACTCATCTCTGCCTTGAGATGGCCTTGATAATTTATGACATAAAAAATAAGTTCCTATTTGGTAGAAAGTCAGCTTTTGATCAGTCTCAAGCTTATTTTTTTTGTGTAAATAAGCTTGTAAAAATAGAGGGAATGCTTTCCCACATTGGAGTATTAGATTTGATCTTTCACTTTTAAAGAGTAGTGTAGAAATATAATTCCAAGGTGGGCAATAAAACAAACATAAAAAAAAATGACCTGTGTGTAAAAGTGAGATGTAGGGAATTAGATACTTGAGTAATGAGAAGATGACAGAAAAGTTCAGGGCCTGAGGCTTTCTGCAAAGAGATCCACTTTCTTTTTCTTTCTTTTCTTTTCTTTTTTTTTTTTTTTTGAGACATAGTCTTGCTCTGTCACCTAGGCTGGAGTGCAGTGGCATGAACTTGGCTCACTGCAACTTTGGTTTTCTGGGCTCAAGCAATCCTCTCACTTCAGCCTCCCAGGTAGCTGGGACTACAGGTGCACACCACTATACTTGGCTCATTTTAAAATGTGTTGTAGAGACGAGAGCTCATTATATTGCCCAGGCTGGTCTTGAACTCATGGGCTCATGTGATCCTCCCGCCTTGGCCTCTCAAAGTGTTGGAATTACAGGTGTGAGCCATCATGCCTGGCTGAGATCTACTTTTCATTTGAAGCCTTGGTATCTTGGTGGTGGTGGGGGTAGCATATTGAGCCCACCTGGGGAATGGGCGGTGCTTGAGCCAGGTGGGAACAATGTGCTGCCAATGATATATCTTACTTCCCTCTTCAATAATAACCCAGCAGGAAATGGAGATGCACTGCAGTGTTACCTGAACTAGAGACGTATCCTAGATTTTGTCTCTTCTTTGGTACCACTTCTGAGAAATTCTGACTTTGTTATCTTCCTCAAAAGAATGGAAACTTATTTATATGATTGCTTCTGACCAGGCATCAATAACAAGAAATGGAGAGCAAATACTTTGTATAGACACCAGAATGGCTAACAAAGGTGACATCATGCTGAGTTGCAAGGAAGGCACCATTCCCTTGGGCAAATGTTGAGAGACATGAGCCATCCTCTCCATGCACTTGATCTGGGACTATGCCTTGAATGAAGTCATTATGGCAGAAGAGGAAAGAATGAAAACTTGAGCTTACTATGTTTGTGATGTTGATTTCTGTGGAATTTAAAATTTGTTAGCTGGTGGATACACATTGTTAATTTGAATACTCTTCATTATAAAAATAATCTGCTAAGTTTTCATCCCTGGAAATTGTTATGAAAGCAAAAACAGTCACCTAAGGGAATATTTGAACATCCATATACCTAATGACTAGAGTCATGGCTACACTTTAAAAGGCTCCTTTCTAGTTGTCATTAGAAATCTCAGTTGAGAATCCTTGGAGCTTCTGCAGCCCATATCAGGTGATGATGACACAATAATTAAGTTCTATCAACAATGGTGAATCAGGATTTGATTGAGTTTCTCTGCATAGCTCTCATAGTGATGAAATACCTGGGCAGAAGTACTTCTCCCACCTCTATGCAGCAAAATAGTTAGTGGTGAGGTGCTATGCAATTTTAGAAATGAGCAACATACTCTGTTTTAAATATGATACAGAAACTGATCTGAGTCCCACCTGGGAGGTGAGCTTCATCATCACAACTCCGTGGGCTGGAGGCTAAAGCTCTGAAGGGAGAAAAAATCGAGGTAGGCATATTTTGTGCTTTTGTTAAATGGGCCTCAAACGCCTCCAGTCATTTATTTGTTGAAGACAGGGTCATCTTATTGAATTCAGCAGGAAAACAACTGTACCAGAAAGAGAAAAGCTGTCTCAATCTTCTCTGTATTTCAAAGGTATTTCACATATGCGCCTCATGAAGGAGACTGCACAGGGAATCAGACCCCGGTGCCTGCTTTGCCTCTCTTGCACAGGGTTAAGTAAGGGAAGCCCCTGACTCACAAGTGCATCCTGGCTGTTTAAGGTTATGCATATTGTGTCTGAATATATAACCATGGTAAATATATATTCTGGAGCAATGTTAAATTCAGCTTAGGACGATGTACTGCTTAGAGTTTTGAGGGAAAACATAAGAATGATGAAATGAGCCTAAATTATTTTTGAAAAAACACTGCTCTCCTAACCCATTTGACGATCTATTACTTCCTTCTGGGCTGCTCCCTTCCCAAGAGATTTGGTACAGGAGGCAAGGAAGGACAATAAGAGAGGTTAGGAAGAAGCACCTTGGGATGCTGACACCCTCTGCCTTATCCTTCTAACTCAAGGACAAGCAGCGTTGGGTTGAATACAAGGTCCTTTCTTCCAAAACTGGGCACAGCCAGAAACATACATATAGATGCAAAACCACTATGATCCTGTGATAGGAGCTGGAATCACTTCCCTTTAGACTCAATTTCCTTTCATTTTCATTAGGTAGGGGATCAGCCTCTCACCTTGCAGTGTTGGGTGGAGATGGCTTAAGATCAAACTTCTCATCTTAACTCTTACTTCCAAGATTTATTTTGTATTAAAAAAAAAAAAAATGAGACTGTCCCGTTACCTCCTCACCTGGGTATTTTATCAGGACTGAGCACATAGTTATTTTCTGAGGGCTGGAGCAACCTGCAGTCCTTTCTAATCAAAGATTTTTTAATCAGCTGGCTTTGAAATCACACCGTCCTCCCGGGGTCCCTGGAGCACACCACCTCCCTGTGATTTCTACTCAAGTTTTCCCCGGCACCCCCCAGCACCCGTTCCATACCTATTTAATCTTTAAACTGCCTCTAATCCTTTTGCAAGGAAGCGGGATGAAATGCTCAAACCACAGTTATACATGATGTTGATTCTCAGGTTCACACATTTGAGGAATTGTTTGAACAAGAAATGCGCTCAGTACTATAATCCAGGGGGCAGGCACGGTGCCTGGGCGACCCTCATAGTCTCCCTCCGACACCCCGCATCCCAACTCCCGCCGCCTTTGCGCCTCAAAGCTGGCAAACATTCCCAAGCCAGATCTAGAGTACCTGGAGTGGGTGCGGGTAAGAAGAGAAGCCAAGGTCTTCCCGGAAGGTGTGCGCCCCTCACCTTGTGGATGGTGCGTGCAGCCGTGCCGCACTGGGCAAACTGGGGTGTCCCGCTGGCTCCAGAAGTCTCACTCGGAACCCGCTCCTTTTTCTCCTGAGCTGGATCAAAGCACTGCTTTTCTCAACATTCGATTCAGGAATGCGTTGAACCCAGGGCGTTCTCCCCGCCAGCGTCCTTGCCCGCGCCAGTGCCCGCCGGGGTGCGGCGAGACAGAACCTGGGAGCGCGGCGCGCCGGGCAGCCCGAGGCACCGCGGGTGGCAGGCACTGCGCTTCGTCGAGTCTGGGCGCCTGGGCTGGAAGAGGAGGCGACAGAGAGAGAGAGAGAGCGGGGAAGAAAGAGGAGGAGGAGGAGGAGCAGAAGCAGGGGCAGGGGCAGTCTGCTAAATCATCTACGCAGGTCGCAGCCTCCCAGGACACCGTGAACAGAGAGAGGGGTGGGGTGGCGGTGGGATGAAAAGATGAGCCCGGGTGTGAGGCAGGTGGTGTTGTGAACTGGAGGTCGCAGCTCCGAGGTGCTCCAGGTCTTGCTTAGGTTGTAAAAGAGATATTATGGAGCTGATGGCGCCTTAGGGCTCCCGGTTGCAAACACTAGAGGGCAGGGCTGTCCGTGTTATAAACGGGGCCTGCGGGGTTGGCGGTGTGTGCAAGGGACTCACCTCCTGAGCCCCTTGCGGGCCACAGCCCTGGCGGAGAAGGGGAAAATAGATGCAACAAGGGGGCAGACCCTACTCCCCTCTTCTGCAGAGAACCTGGGTTGAGGAGGGAGAGGAACAGCGGTTGACAGATTTGCACGCCTTCTCTGCGGGGCTCCAACAGGCAAACCCTCTGGAGGTGCATTTCTTAGCTTTCCTCCAGGGGAGATTACAGTCAACATCCACAGAACGCCTCAAGGAGAGAGATTACAAGGAAGGGGTGAGGGAGAAGTGGATGAAAATTGGGGTGGGTCAAAGTGGAAGTGGGGAAGAGAGATGGGGAAAGCAGTGAAGAAAAGGAGAGGGAGGATGGAGTGGTTGGGGCTGAAAGACCTGGTGAAGCAGCCTTGCCTTTTTTTTTTTTTTTTTTTTTAGGGAAGTCTACCTGGGTGCCATCTCAGGTTGGCACAGGGCTTTGTGCTCTTCTTAGGGTGCCAGGGGCTGTTCTTTTTGATGTGCTGCTGCGGCAAGGTCAGAAAAGTTAAGCTGGAAGGGACTTTACGGAATCCTGGCAATGCTAAAAGAAGCTTCCTTAGGGCTGGTTGGTTATTCTCTGTGGAGAACTTGGGCGACTCAACTTTGAAGCTTAACATGGATCGAGTCCCTGCCATTGTAAAAAAAGAAAATCAGATTGTTCAGACTAGCCATAAAATGAACTAGACAATCTTATGGAGAGAGTATGGTCTGTAGACAACCTGATACACGCATCTTAGAGTTGGAAGGACCTTGGAAATCATGTAGGCAACTTGGGTAGCTTCCCCAAACACCTGCCTCACACTTTTCTTTCTGGTTTGCAGCCTTATGGCTGATCTGAAAAGCACTTTAAGTTATTTATTTATTTTTTGAAGTTTGGCAATTCTAAACCAAATGAAACCCTTCTTAAGTTCAAAAAGCAAGCCTACGTGCCCTTCCTCCTGCCTTCTGGAGTGCCTCTCAAGGCCAGCAGGGGCTGACTGATGGATGTCAGGGGAATTTCACCGAACAAGAGAAAGGAAGATTGGTAAACTATAGTCTTGAATTGTGATTTGCTTCTGTTAATCCCATTAAACTGAGAATAGGCTTAAGTAGACTGAAGTCTAACAGGAGGATGAGGTGGAAATATGTTTTTCTACTAAAGATGACACAGCTTGAAGTTTGTTTGATGATAAAGGTATTATGTAAAAATAAACAGAACAAGAATCATTCCTCATTTAAAAAAAGAATCTTATAGAACTGAAGTTTTTTTAGATATTCCAAGAGAGTAAGTAAGGACATTGTCCTACTCTGGCAAATTTGGAGTTCCTCCAAAATATAAAGGAAATATGAGTTTGTTAAATTCCTTTTTAAAAAATTGATTTACCTATTTTTTGGTTATTACAATGTAAAGAACTATGGAAACAAATATTATACACTTGGAAACGATCCTGAGCATACCTCAGAATACCCGCTTTTTGGCAGATGTTCAGCTTTATGAAGTGTCTGATTATTTTCAAGCTATTAATTAACTTCTGGCATATATTTCACCAGTTTTAATAAAATCAATGCTCTCTTAGTCAAGAGCTGATAATTTAATTTGTATTACCCATTTGAATTTCCAATGGGCTCTATGAGTGCTTTAAGATTGTAGGTATACATCCCCATTTCATAATAGAGAATTCCTTGTCACTTAAAAAACTATAAGGATTGCATGGATCCCTGGACATCTGGCATAAAAAATTCATCAACTTGCAGCAGGAACTAAAAAGTCATTATGAAGAAATTATCAAATCCACTCATTCGTTAATTCAAAAAATGTTGATAAATATCTACCGTGTTTGAGGCACAAGGCAACTTCTAGGACTAAAATAACGAAGAAACAGTTTATTCTCTCAGTGGGAAGACTGAGTCCCAAACTAGTAAATCCATTCCAGAGTAACAGTTTGGAGAAGGGGGAAGTACAGGATATTATGGGAGCACAAAGGAGGGCAATCTAATCCAGGTTTTAGGACCAGGGAGTAATTGCTGGAAGTGGTGCTGGCAGTGGTGGTGTGTATAGGTGGTGGGGTGGTTGATAGTGGTTGGGAGAGGGAAAAATAATGAACAATGGATTCCCTCCATCTCCTGGACAATCCTAATTACATTTGTTAACTTTTCACTTGGATGCTAGAACTTCACATTAATGGATGAGGAAGCAAGCATGCACATGGTACATTTTTCTGCTAGAAGTAAGACTACAAGTTTTGTGAGGCAGGAACTGTGTATAACTTGTTCATCATATGATTACAGAGAAGAATCAAGATTCTGGTTGACATTGTCTGTCATTTCCTACCTCTACCATGGAAATGGGAATGAAACATGAAGGGAAGGTGCTATGGTGGTGAGGGAGCTCACACCATCCTAGGTGCTCTCCATACACTATTCCGCTAAACAATTTCAACAACCCTGTGACATAGTTCTCTCATTTTACTGTTGGTTTCAGAGACTGAGCTTCAAACTGCATTTTATGTCTGTGGTGTGACAAAGGCCAGAGGGAGAGAATGAAATGTTTATAGGTAGGTTTTAACATTTGTCAGCTTTCAGGAAGTTATGCTAAGGTAACCAAGCATAACCCTCAAATCTCAGTGTCTTGCTATGGTAGAAGTTAGTGGCTTGCTAATAAAGGTATTAGCCGTGGATTGTCTGCAGCTGCATTTTGGGATCCAGACTGAAGAAGTCAGGCCATTTTCATGGTAGAGGGAAGAGTAATGGGGGAACATCACAGTGGTTCTTAAGGCTTCAGCTGAATTATGAGATAAATCACTTATGCTCACATTCCATTGGCTAACCCAAATCATATGGCTAAACCTGATGTCAAGTGAATAAAAAGCAGGCTTCCTCCACTGGGAAGGATTCCAGGGAGGGCTACTGTAGAGATGGGCCTGAGAGTCACAATATTTGGTGAATAAATTATTAAATTGACAACAATCTCCAGCAATGCTTTTGAATGAAGGCATTTTCACTACAAAATGTTTTATTTGCAGATACTATTGGCTAACTGTGTTCACCAACCTCATGATACAGGGAGCAAAATAATGAATTTAGGTTGATTAGCTTAATCAACTAGAATATAGCTTAATTGATTAGAATACAGCTTAATTGATTAGAATACATCATCTAGATCTAAACTGTTCAGGGAACAGTTGGCAAGGTGGCCTTGCGCTGAGAAAAAGCTCTACTCTCTGACCAAAAACTGGCTCTTACTCCCTGTTGGCATGTGCTAATATTTGTTCCCAGGAGGAAATATTAAGGCAGACTTGGTGGAACAAACCTCAAGCTCTAGTGATCTTGACAGTGGTTCATGATCAACACATTTTTTCATCAAAAGTAATCATGAGAAGTAGCTCACTTACTCTTGAGTAGAAATAGTTGATACATTTTCAATAACGATTTCTTGAACACCTCCCACCTGGAAGTTTGAAAGAGATGTAGGGCTTGGTCCCTTCTCTAAAAGAACTAAAAACCCAAGGTAGGTGAAGGCATTTACATGAATGACTACATGAAGGAGCTGAAGGACCAGAGAAACCTCTGTGGAGGAATTGGGGCTTTGGAAAGATATGTAGAGTCTGAGTAGGCCCTGTTTGTGTAGGGCTAATTTTTCCGTCTTCCTGCCTTCCAGAGCATGCTTCTCTGTGCTCCAGGGAGCTATCACTATGTGGCATACGTGTGCATCTGGGGACTCACCAGCCTAACCCTTTTCTCAAATGGACAGGCCAGAAGCCCTGTGTTATGACCATGTGGGCTAAACAATTATGTCCCTTTGCCTTTATGTTCTTTTTTATTTTCATTTTTATGAATTTTTCGTTTTTGTGGGTGTATAGGAGGTATATATATTTATGGAGTACATGAGATGTTTTACTACAAGCATGCAATGTGAAATAAGCAAATCGTGGAGAATGGGGTACCTATCCATCCCTTCAAGCATTTATTCTTTGAGTTACAAACAATTAAATTATACTCTTTATTTTAAAATGTACAATTAAGTATTATTGACTACAGTAACCCTGTTGTTCTATCAAATAGCTGGTCTTATTCACTCTTTCTATTTTTTTGTACCCAAGTCCCTGTATTATTAAATAACTTACAAGTGGAAACCATGAAGGCACAAAAAACAAGCAGTGTGCAGATCAAGGTTTGGAAACTGGTGTGAAGGACAGGGTGGTTGCTTGTGAAACTGACACCTATTCATGCATAGACATCCTTGTAATGGAGAACTTCTTTGTTTCTGCCACTCCTGAGTCCTAGTCAAAGCTGGAAGTCCTTGTTATGTGTTCATAGGTGGCCTTTGGTGATTTGGGAGGTGATTCATCAATGTTAGGGCAGCTCCCTGCTTTCACCCTTCTGCTTGACAATATGTGGGCTGGTCATCAAGCATTCTGAATCTGAACTTCAGGGCTCAGATTCCAGCTTCACTACTTACAGCAGAGTGACCTTAGGCCAACTTATTGTACATTTGTCTCAGTTTCCAACATCTCTAGAATGGGGATAAGTCTTGTATGAGGGTTTCTTATATGAGACAGTGCATTAAAGTTCATGGCACAGTGGCTGGCACACAGTAAGTAACGGGTGTTAGCTATTGCTATGATCTTTTCCTTTTTATTTACTGAGTAAGAAGGAGATTCATTTCTAAGATTATTTTTAATGTCTGTGCCTCTGGTTTCTGACTCTTTTCTTCCAGCCTGCATATAGAGATTCTCTAGCCTAAATATTCCCTGTACACTTCTCTACTCCCCACTTTTTCTTGAATCTCTCTCTCATCTATATTATCTTTGCCTCTATTTGCCATTACCATTTAACGTCATGAAAAGAAAAAGAATTCATGGTCAGCATTTCTTCTTCCTTACCTCTCACTCCTTCCTCAACAAACTGAATATAGC